CTAGAAAATGCTAGAAGCTGGTTGGATATGTCATACTTCAGGAAATGTCAAACATGCATTTATCTATGGAACTTATTTTTATACATTACTTATACCTGATATCAAACAATTAACTACTACTACTACTACTACTACTACTTCGAATACTACTAATAATAATACTACTAATACTACTACTAATAATACCCAAAATGAAAATTCACTTAATCTATCTACATTGGATATTAATAATGAATTGAATACTCATTCTGCTCCAGTTACACCAATTCAATTGAATCCATCCACTACAAGTATGTGAATAAAATAATCATGTTCAATGTGTACAATAAGTAGTGGTGCATTCAATTTTCAAGTTTCTTTGTATTTCATAAATGAATTGATTAGCTAGCAGAGTTTGTTTTTATGGAGATTATTTCGTCATGGACTTATATCAGTTAGAGTATTATTATTGTAGATTAAAGTGTACTAGACACCATTATATTGTTGCTTAAGTTGTAGTGGAATGGTGTGAATGGTTTACTCTAGATATATTTCATAGGAAAACAATGTTTTGCTAATGCTGTTGGATGATTGTCACATTATAATCATGCAGTACTCCAGCTATAACTACTAAACCAAAAGGTTCTAGGCTTGATACCGGAAGTCTTCACCATTGCACCTCGTATGGACCGCCTGAATTTCGTTCATGACCAAATGTGTAAAAATTCAATGCAACCATATCCAATCAGTTCAAAGGCTGGCTACCAGACATCTGTGAGTCCTAGGGTACCGGCAGACCGATTGCCCGTCTACTGAGAGTGAGGGGTGGTGGTACATTTAGATATCAGGTCAAGGTGCGTATGGAAATATGTCTCGTGGTGGTCGTATGTATACTCTTACAAAGACTATGAAACAGTGGCACAGAAAAACAAATATTCACCAGCGATGATATGCTACCACTGAAGTACCATTATTAGTTATAGCTTGTGGATATCGTGTTGACCATATAGCTGAGCTCCTCCTTTTCTTGGCTAAAGTTGGAGCGTCAAAGAAGATCAGTGATGCAGCTGAAGTACTTAAGGCAATCCGAACTTGGACTGATATTCAAAAAGTCCACAATTCTCAGAGATTCAGTGCTAGTAAATGTAAAATGCGAAATCGAAGATGAATCGAAAAGCGTGACCCGATAGTAATTTATAAAAAGGACAATGAAACATTATACTCCCTCAAGAGTATTCCAGATATCATTGTAACTAATGTCAAAGCTCTTTAATCTTCTCAAACTAGCTTTAGATGACTGTATGGTCAGATGCAGTATTTCGTCAGTTGGATAAGCGTTATCGCTCATGAAAAACAAGGGATGCTAAAACGTTTCCCCTAATGAAGAATAGGTCACCGACCTACTCTGCTTTGAGCCTTCCTTTTCAGTTCTATCCCACTGCTGTTCATTCTTTTTCTGTTTGTCTCCAATTCCCAGCGTAATGTGTTCTTTGGTGTTCCTCTTTTACCTTGACCTTCATCATTCCAAGTGAGGGCTTGTCTTGTAACGCAGTTGGGTGCTTTCTGCAATGCATGTCCAGTGCTTCTTTCTGATTTCTTCCTCCAGTGGAATCTAGTTTGTTGTCTCCCACAGTAGGTTGTTGCTGATGGTGTATGGTCAACGGACCCTTAGTAACTTGCGTGGACAAGTCTTAATAAACACCTGTATCCCGTAGATGATAGTTTTCGTAGTTCTCCAAGTTTCCGCCCATTTAATAGAACTTTCTTGAGTTTTGTATTGAAAATTCTGACTTTGGTGTTTGTTGATAGTTGTTTTAAGTTGTGCATTTTCTTCAACTGTAGAAATTCTGCCCTTGATTTGCCGATCCGCACCTTCACATATGCATCAGATCCACCTTGCTGCCCAAATATGTAAAGGTTTTTACATCTCCCATGACTTCTCGGTCATGTGTGATTCGTCCTGTGTGTTTGTTGTATTGTATCGAGGGATCCTCCCGCGTCCCCCAGTGTATCTCGCTGTCTACTACTGCAGAGGTTGCTGCTACACTGAACGTCTTCTCCTACACTTGTTGTTCCATATAGTTTATAATAGTTTGATACCGGTTTTCATTTGGAACAACAAGAGTATATTACACATTTTTGAAATCATGAATCGATCATTGTTAGACCACCATTAGAAACCTGGAAGTACCGGACGGCCGTTTCGTCCTGGTATGCGACTCCTCACATTTTTTTTGAAAGAAGTTAGATTTTTTTGAAAAGAAATTGAAGAAGATGCTTGGCGATTCGTTGTTATTAAAACAACCCAATAAGTTCTAGTGAGGTGACGTGACCAGTGGAGTTCAACACTTGTCGGATGTAAGCAGTAACTCGTGAAGACAAATGGATGAGGCTCTCCTAAATCCCTAAACTGGTCAGAGTTAGACACCGTTGGATGCCAGCACAATGGTTCAGAGGTTAGACCTTCGCACACAAGACTGAAGGTCCAGGGTTCGAACCCTGCAGTAGTCGTGGATGCGCACTGCTGAGGAGTCCCATAGCATGATCACGAAACGGCCGTCTTTCAGTGCTTCCAGTTATTCTAATGATGGTCTAACATTGATCGATTCATGGTTTCAAAAAATGTGTAACTTAACAATCTTCACAACCCCTTAATGCAAGAGTATATTAGTTCTATCTCATAGTAGATTGTTACTGATTTCATATTTATAATAACTGATGATAATTTATTAACAATGCCTATGATATTCATTTGTTTTTTCTGATTAGATTATGCCAATTCATTATCGATCAATACATCACAATCCATAGCTGGCTTATCATCATCGTCATCCTCCTCCTCCGCATTCCCATTAACTACTAATACTACTACCACTACTATGACGACAACGACATCCACACACACACCGCTAACATCATTGAACACTTCTTGTCTTGTCACATCTTCAACCAACACTGCCACCACATCAATAACAACTAGCTGTTTGTGTACGCCTACAAATGAATTGAATAATTTGTCTGCTTTCAATACTATTACTACTACTACTACTACTACTACTGCTACTACTCCCACTACTAACGATAATAATAGTAATAATAATAATAATCACGATAATGGCAGTACTAGTACTACTACTAATACTACTCAAATGAGTAGTTCTACTAATATGATTGTCTCAACAATCCCAGTTACATCATTTAATTTTACAAATATAATTACCACTACTACTGCTAGTACTACTAGTACCACTACTACTACTACCACTACTAATACTACTGCTACTACTAGTACTAGTACTAGTAACAGTAATAACACTAGTAGTAGTACTCCAACTAATACAACAATTACAACTGCTTCACAATTGTCAACCACAACAACCACAACCACAACAATAAAACAAAATGAATTTCATTGTAAATTAATGCATTTCTTTAAAACTCTGTCAAATGTGGATTTTAATTTATTATCACAACTACCAATGAGATTTCCTAAAGATTATTTACCGAAATTATTAAATGATCCAATGAAATGGACTAGTGTCTTTCAAAATGAATGGGCTGAAGTATCGATTGTGCATTATGGCGCAAATGCGGAATGTCAATGGAAAGCACTGCACCATCTTCAACAACAACACCAGCAACAACAACAATCACATCATCAACAGACGATTGATAATTATGATTTGTTGAATGAGACTGGTAGTACTCCAAATGTATTTTCTTGTTGTGCTGCTGCTAGTAGTACTATGAGTACGAGCGCCACTGCGACAACGATTACTATCACTGCTAATAATGAGTCATGTCCATCATTGTCTACATCAGAAGAAGTACACTTTGATGGGAAGAATGAATTGAATAGTTTTTTTAAAGATGGTCTTTTAACTTATTCATCGATTACTGCATTGTTTGGTATACCGGATAAAACTGGATTTCAAGGTAACTCTAACTAGGAATTATATGTTAATTTATTCTGACTGGTGATTGATTGTCGTTGTAGATTGTGATGGACGTATGCCCAGCCACCGACTACGTTGACGAGCGATGATGTCTGGTGTATTGGGTAGACTGGAAGAAAGTTAAGGGGAGGCCAAATCAAAACATGCCACAAATCCATGGCCTCACTGAACCATGTTAGTAGATGTAGGTTGTGGTGGCCAAATATCTGCGTGTTCTAAAGCTCTGTAATTAGCTCATCTAGACAATCGTTACAAAGTAGCGTCTGACGGTTATAAATCAGAAGATGAATTTGAAGTAATGAATACGTTTATTTTTGGACGCACACCACAAAGCGAAGTTGAAAAGCAGCGAACAAAGCGTACGAAACGACGTGAATTGGAGAAGCGAATCATACGAAGCGAATGAATAGGCGAAGCGCGTTAGAGAAGGCTTACGAGCCAACTCCTTGAGATAGAGCATGACTAAGAATATATAGTCAGACAAATATAAGACAGACATGCAACAAACGAGATAGGCACACATGAATAAAAGCGACAAATGACTGACAAGGTCAAATGACAAGTGGGACATGTCATGTGAGCTCATACAAACCAGACAATGATAAGAACGAATGGTACATATAAATTGTTGCTATACAAATGGCTTAGTTATTAAATAAATTAATCGAAAGAGCTTAACCGAGTTAGATGTAAGCGAACTGGAATATTTGTGGAGGCACTACAAGGCTACCTGGTTGGGGTCCGCGAGACGATAGTAACTGATGGTTAGAGACCTTGAACGACATAGCTGAAAATCGTTTGCAATGGTGCAGGTGCATTCACTCTTTGTTTCCTCCTAAATTCTAATCTTCCGATTTCTTCATCACCTTTATCTTTCATGTCTCAAATCTGCTTCACTGGATTATACATCCTGAATAATCTCTTAAGACCTTAATCTTTCCGATTATTGCTGATACTTTTACTACTATAGGATTCAATCTTTATACTGATGTACGTACGTACGTACGTACGAAGTTCGACATTGTAGCTGACTATTCTTGTATGTTTTTACTGACATTTTTTCTGTTGACTCACGTGATTGATGAACCTCTTGTATATAGATTGATTGGATTGAATCTTTATCGATGTGTTCATTGATTACCAAGTGTTTTTCACCTTACGTTTCTAGAAATTCGCTTGCATTAATCGAATTTCTCTCGATTGCAGCATTTCAATATTTCTACGATTGACTCGGCATACATTGATATCAATGATAACATGTCATTTTGTCTCATTGTAAATTTATCTTCATTTGTGCTTAGATGACGGTGTCATCCATCTTATTTGAATGTAGTATTTCTTGTAGTTAGTACAGTTTATGTTGTAGATTATGTTTGGAAATTGATATGAACTGAATCTACAAACTAATAGGGAAGATGTTAGTAAATCACAAAGCGAATCGATTAACCAACACTGAAGCAATCATTGTGAACACAAGGATAAATAAAGTGAATAAAGTCTACGAAGAAAGCTAATCATAAACAAATCGATCGGAAGAAATTGATATACCTCTTGTGTTTTAGTTGAAATTCTCACTTCTACATGATGTAAGCCGTAATCATGTTGTCCAGAGTTGTAAGGACAGTTGCAAAATCAAACTGTCAAACTCAGAGGACAAAAGATGACTGATTACCTGATTTGTAGAATTCTTTCATCCGTTTGTTTGTTCATACTTTGACGGTAGAGGTTACAACTTAATCCTTAGAGCGTTTGACTTTTATCCACTTAATTTCAAATTTAAACTTTGTTCCATCTATTGTGTTTTTAAGCACCTAGTCAGTTTAACTACCGTTAACAAAATCAACTGATTAAACATGTTCTTGATCAATTAATTTTATAAACATTCCCATAGTAGAATGATAACAGTAAAACATGTATTGAGAGTGTTATTAAACTTGGTATTCATGAGATATACGAGAAGCCAAGACCAAATGATATATATATATATATATATATATATATATATATATATACGAAATATGTATTATCATAGTCCTCAATCATCTATTTTCAGTCTCGAGACAGTAAATCAGCGTTCGATTGCCTCAGTCCTACTATATAGATCCGAAACATGGCCGGTAAGAGTAGAGGACATTCTTAGGTTATTGGTATTCGATTATAGATGTCTTCGAAGCATTGTATCATGGGAGAACCGTATAAGCAATGCTATCGTTAGGAAACGAGTACTAGGTAACGATGGCAAATCAATAGATGAAGTAGTGAAACTTCATCAGTTGAGGTGGTTGGGACATGTGTTACGAATGCCCAACCACGAGCTATGTTTTGTGGTGTAAGAGTAGGTTGGAAGAAAGCTTGGGGCGGCCAGACCAAAGCATGGCGGAAATGCATGAAGTCATTGACAAGTGAACTGAGTCATGTTGGTAAATGTAGTCTACCTGGTTGGGGTCCGTGAGACGAAAGTAACCGATGGTTAGAGACCTTGAACGACATGGCTCAGAATCGTTTGCAATGGTGCGGGTGCATCCACTCATTCTATTCTCCCAAATTCTAACCTCCTGAATTCCTCATCACCTCTGTCTTTACCTTTCTAAATTTATCTCACTGAATTATACTTCTCGAATCATATCTTCGAACTATGATCTTCTCCATTACTGCTAACACGTCTACTATCTTTACGACTATGGGACTTGAACTGATAGTTGCATCCTTGTGCTGATATGGCATGGCAACCTGAATTGTTATATGTACGTACGAAGTTCTACGTTGTAACTGACTTACTGACTGATTGTCTTAGTTGTATATATGTAAATCTTTTGTGAGTTCCAGGTTATCGTAATTTATAAAGCTTAATTAGATGACTTCTCACTACTATTTGCTAGATGTTCCTTACTAGTAATAGTCCTACATGATGTTCATTGATCTAACAGATTGCCCATATTGTAATTGCACGTAATTACAAAGTAATAGTTTTTAGTGAACACCAAACTACTGACATTTGCTATTTGGCATTTAAAAAAACCCCGAGGATTCGAACGTATGACTTATCGGTTGATACGGGTACGGGTATGAGGGCGGATGTCACTTCCCGGCTTCACACACTGTAGAAGGGTATTTCTTACTGACTAAATTACTTACGCCTGTTACCCCTAATGGAGCATAGTCCGCCCACCAGTTTTCTTCTTAGGGAATCTGAAAAGGAAATAGGATAGCGGTGGTCTTAGCGATCTGGAAGCGTAAGGTTAGAGCCCAAGAGACAACTGCTTGAGGCTGGTCATGCACAGTCTCTTTATGGGAAGTTTTTAAAGTGTTAGCTACGGTCTTCAAGTAACCATACCGTCGGGAACAGAAATTTGTGTGGTAAGGTGAGGTGTGACATTTTTAAAGTCAACTTTTCTAACCCCTGCCTTCAATGTGAGAAGGCAGTATCGCTGCAGATGCTGGTTATCTAAAAGAAACACCTAACTGCTTTCACGCCCTTCAACAGTCAGCAGTATGACTTCTCCCTCAGACCTTGAGTTGCTATTTGTAGTCTCATCATTCTCCAATCGACCTGCCTGGCATGGTAGGACGTAAAGGCACACGCGTTGCTGCAACCAATAAACTTCGATTGGTTCATCATGATAGACAAGACCCCGACCACCACCACGAAGACGACAAGGTAGCAGCTACGGTCAGTTCAAATTATTATTTCCACATCCGACATTGTGAATTTATTACATCAAACGAATAAAATTTCTACCCAAACTCTACTACCAATAATAATAATAATAATTACAAAAAGATTTTGGTTTTTTTTAACATTTTTTAGGTTGTTTTTCTATTTTTTTTTCAACTGTGTTGTGTAATTTGAGTTTCTTTTGCAGTGTGTGTGTGTATCGGTGATTTGTTACATTTTAATAGAAAATTGATACTTTTGTGTCTGGTATTTTTGTTTGTGTTCTGTTCTGTTTTGTTTCGTTTTGTTTCGTACTGTTTTTCTTTGTGCATTTTTTTCTGTGCTGTTTTGAGAGGAAAAAAAGTGAAGTTAAAATAACACTGTGTGTGAATGTGATGGAAAATTCGTCTCCTTCTTCTCCAGTTTGTTATTTTTTCTTCATAATTTTGAGAGAAAATTAGTCATTCACATGATTTTACTTTGAACATGGAAATTCGAATTCATGATGTGATTTGGTAGAATGTTTTTTTTCCAAAAAAAAATTTATTTATTCGGGGATAATTTTTCAAGATGAATCCTTTGTTTTCGGTGAAATCATGAATTGACCAATGTTAGGGTACTAATAGAAATGTGGAAGCAGTGAAAGACGGTCTGTTTTGTCTTGATGTAGATTTCATCAGTGTTGGTGCGCATCCACGACTTGTGCTACTCGTGGAACTCGAACCCCTGGACCTTGGGTCTTGCGTGCGAACCCTTAATCGTCCTAATAATTAAGAAGCCAATCGTTAGCAATTACTCACGCTCTATTTTGTGTAATTTATAATGAGTAGAAAAAATGTGTTTTTTCCATTATAATAACCTTATAGAACTAGATGACATATATATATATATATATATATATATATATATATATATAGTATTTCAACTCGTTTTTTAAACTTTTAACAGGGTTTTTTAAAATAACCAAAAAATTTTTTAAAATTTTCACAGCGTTTTTTAAAATAACCAAAAAAACTGAATGAACTTATCTGAATTCACCGAATCAACAAATGTTTTAGCAAAGAGAACTTCATTTTCTGTTATAGCCGATATTAAACTTATATTGGTTCCACGCGTTGATGGAACTAGGGCACTTGCCGGTTTTCCTATTGTAGATCTTCCCAAGGTTCTTCTTAAGTACAAATTAAAAGAAGATTCATCTATAAAAACTTTTATAAATGTATCTTCAATGTTCATAAAATTTTGAGCATAAATTTGGCGTTTGTTTTTACTGGATTCCGAATTTACATTGACCGATGTATAAGAAATCTTTTTCAAAGTAATCTGAAGTCTATAAATTATCCTTCTTATAGATTCAAGAGAAAGGCCTTTAGAAAATATGTTTTTTATTTTTTCTCGAATTTCTACCATCGTTATTAACGGGTTTAATTCTATCGATTCTTCAACAAAATTGATAATATCACTGCATATCTTCTTATTTGATGGTTTTCCTGTTTTTTTCTTCTCAACTCGCGATTCCTTTTTATACAACCTTATATATAATATTTGTAGCGGCCTGATAGTTTACATCTGTAAGAAATGCCGCATCCTTGACGGTGTATCCATCTTCAATAACTTTTTTATAAGGCTTTTTCTTTTTTCATTCGAAATCAAGTTGTTTTTTCTATTTATTTCTGACATTCTAAGGATTACAAAAAATTTTAAAAAGCGCTGTGGTTATTTTAAAAAACGCTGTGAAAATTTTAAAAAAGTTTTTGGTTATTTTAAAAAACCCTGTTAAAAGCTTAAAATACGAGTTGAAATACTATATATATATATATATATATATATATATATATATATATATATTGTTAGAGGGTATTATAGAATGGGTCTAAAATCAAGTCTTTGGAGTGTTGTATATATTAAACTGATTACAAGGTGAACAAGTATTTTGATTTATTTATTGAAACGTTAGCTATACTTCATAGTTAACACTGTCATTGTGGTGTTCAAAAGTAGTTTTTGCCTTCATCAAGTTGACCAAATGCACTGGTGCTGACTTGAGTGGGTTGAATGAACTCTTCTCACTCTTAAAATGCTCTCATATAGCCACGAGTGTACAACCATTGCCAAGAAAGTCTCAATTACTTCATTTGTGTGGGGTGACTACTATTTACAAAATTGAGAGAATGATAAGCTAATATCCATTCAGGGAATAAAGCAGGTTGATAAGTACAGAGCATTGACCTAGGAAAGTTGGAAAACGCTGATCCCTAACTGGTGGTATGTACAGGCTTCAAGATCTTGAGGGAACAAACGGCTTTTGAACCTATTGTTATGCACTAGGTACCATGAGACCGCATCGTCTAACTCTGCCCCATTACCTTGTGGATTAGACCTTTAAGTCAAAGGTTCAGGAAGTGACCTCCTAATTAAACTGCCTGATTCAGTTTGGGCACTCGGGTCATTATTCCAACCCATACACAAAAATTCTCTGAGTTTTGTGTTGCATACATATTTAGGTATCCCCTTTGTACCAATGTTTATGTGTTTCAATTAACTGGTTGAATGACATTTCTATCATTTCCAATCTATTATTATTTTAATGTTGTTTGCAGAAATTGATCAAATTCTTCGTAAAAGTTGTCTATGTGATTTAGATGGACCAAATCATGATGGACCAGTTGAATGGGCACATTGTGTCTATGATGCAAATTATCATCCAACTTGTGCTTTCTCCATTGAACTTCAATGGCTTGTAGTTACTGGTGGACGAATGGCTGAACTAGTGAGTCATTGTTTTGTTATGTTTTTTTTAGTTTAAATAAATAGTTAAGTGTGTTTGATTGTGACCAATTTGGTCTGGTGTACTGGTAGGAGTATGAGTCGGGAATGTTACTTCCCGTCTGCCCACCCCGTGGAAAGAAGTTTCTTGAGGAACCTGGGAGCGTGACCGCAGAGCCCAAGGGACAAGTACTTCAGACCGATCACGCATAGTCTTTCGAAGCGAAGTTTGTAAAATGTCAGCTCCGCTCTTCAAGTGGCCTTACCACCGGCGACGGAAATCCATGAGATAAGGTGAGGTGTGACATTTTTCGGGTCGACCTTTTCTAACCCGTTTCTTCCTTGTGAGAAGGCAACATCGCTGCGGATTCTGGTTATCCGAGGGAAAAAACCTTAATGCTGTCACATCCGTCTACAGTCGGCAGTACGACTTCGTCCTCAGACATTTTGAGTTGCTGCTTTTAGTCTCATCGTTCTCCAATCGACCTGCCTGGTATGGTAGGACCTTCGGAAACATATGTTCCAACCAATATAGTTCCGTTGGGTCATGACGATAGGCAAGCTCGAGATCGAATCCACCAAGCAAAATTACAAGTACACTTTACTTATGACTATCAAATATCACAAAACCTCTAATCCCAGTAATTCTTATCTATCAAACTACCTCTAACCATTGTCATCTCATAAGAACTAGTTGAATTCAATTCCAACCATAAATAATACTACGAATATTGTTCATACATCTCCATTCATTATTATTTTTCTTAAAAACATTACAAATTCTGTTATTTTATCTTTTTTTTCCGAGAAAATACACAGAAAATAAATTCAACTAGTATTCAAATGAAAGTGAATGTTTTCTACTTTTTTTTTCTTTTGATGATGATGAACTAACAAGTTCATTTTGTCTAGTCAATGCAATGCACACACATATTCGAAATGAGTTTCTTCTCATTATCAATAAGTTAAATATTAAAGATGATTATATTTTTTCTTATAGAGAATAAATTATTATTTTGTATAGATTTTTCTGTTTTTTTAACGTTTTTTTAACCGAAATTCATATTTCATTGTTAATCAATCAGTCAGTATATATAGATTTGTTATCAGTGAATTGTGAACAGTGTTGAGTTTCATCAATAGATGATGAAGTAAGTGAAACTTTATCAGTTGATGTGGTTAGGACACATGTGTTACGTATGGCTAACCACTGACTGCCACGACGAGCTATGGTTTGTAGTGTAGGAATAGACTGGAAGAAAGCTAAGAAGGCGGCCAAACCAAAACATGACAGAAATCCATGAAGTCATTGACAAGTGGATTAAGTCATGTTGGTGGATGTAGGCTATCTGGTTGGGGTCCGCGATACAAAAGTCACCATTGGTTAGAGACCTTGAACGACATGGCTCAGAATCGTTTGCAATGGTGCCGGTGCATCCAGTCTATGTGTTCTCTGGAATTCTAATCTTCTGAATTCCTCATAATCTCTACCTTTCTCCTTCTAAATTTATCTTACTGAATTATACTTCTCGAATCATATCTTCGCTCCCTAATCTTCTCCATTACTGCTAATGCTTCTATTATTGCCATCACTGTTGGATTTGAACTGACAGTTGTGTCTCTGTGCTGATGGGGCATGGCAACCTTAACTGATGTACTTACGTACGAAGTTCTGCGTTGTATCTGTCTCTGTCTGTCTGTCTGTCTGTCAATGGCGCAGGTGCGTCCATTCTTTGTTTTCTCCAAAATTCTAATCTGAATTCCTCGTGACCTCCATCTTTCTGTCTGTCTATTGAGTTTCATTAAAATCCTTGACTGATCAATGTTATAGACCATCGACTAAAGCTCAGAGGCAATAGACAGTATTTTTTTCACCCTACTATGAGACTCAACAGTAGTGCACATCCTCACAACCCCACAAGCAGGAATCGACACCAGAACTATCCATCTCGCACCATACTGTGGGATCTCAATCATTGCCTTTGTTAAGTAACTAACTAACTGCCTCACACCCCCGACATAGATTGAACTCCGCCGGTCATCACTTTTCACTAACACTCCAAGTATTCCCTCATGAAGTTAGTCAGTAGTGAGCATATTACAATCTTCATTATTGGTTTGTATACAGATTGTTGAGTTTCATTAAAACCATGCACTGATGAATGTTAGATCATCTTTGTAAAATCCGGATATATATATCTTTTTGTGATTGATAAGATATAATGAAACCTAGTTTTATTTAATAAGTTGTATTTATCATAATTTAAGTACGTACTAGACGTACAAGATAGTTATTGAATATTCACTTATCAAGTCCTTCCACTGTATGGCCAATATAACCTTGCAGAGTTAGTTATCTCTTGATGACTAGTTTAATCTGTAAGTTGTATTCATTACAAACTGATCCTATGATGAAACAGCAGTCCAGTACTCTCTGCTCCGTCTTACTTTATTGCTGTGAAACATGGCCAGTGAGAGTAGAAGATATTCGTCGGTTATTGGTTTTCGATCATAGGTGTCTTTGAAGCATTGCTCGTATATCGTGGGACACCCGAGTGAGCAACGCTGTTATTAGGAATCGGGTGCTAGGTAAGGATGGCAGACCAATAGATGAAGTGCTGTAAGTTCATCAGTTGAGGTGGATGGGACATGTGCTCTGTATGCCTAAACACCGACTACCTCGAAGCGCTTTGTTTTGTAGTGTAGGAATAGGTTGGAAGAAAGTTAGGGGCGGCCAAACCAAAACATGGCAGAAATGCATGAAGTCATTGACGAGTGAACTTAGCCATGTCGGTAATTGTCGACTACCTGGTTGGGGTCCGCGAGCTTATAATAATAGATGGTTAGAGACCTTGAATGACATGGCTCAAAATCGTTCGCAATGGCGCCGGTGCATTTATTCATTGTGTTCTCTCAAATCCTATTCTTCTGAATTCGTCAACATCTCTAGTTTTGACTTTCTAAACTTTTCTCACTGAATCATACTTCTTGAATAATATCTTCTAATCCCAACCTCTCCGATTACTCTTAATACCTTTACTATCTCTTCTACTATTGGATTTGAATTGACAATTATATCTCTGTGCTAATGTGGTATGGCGACATGAACTGATGTACTTACGTACGAAGTTCTACGTTGCATCTGATTGACTGACCAGTACTCTCTATAGTTTGTAAATCAATCAATGATTTGGCTTGAAATTTAAATCTATGACCAAAAAAATGAGAACTTACAAATAGGAGACGTTCAATCATTTTCATTATTGATTCTATATTATCATGTTCATATAAAAAAATACTTCGCTATCTATTCTTATAAATGTTGCACTGTTCAAGAAAAGTCATTATTAAAACAAAGATTACATTTCGTTTGCGGGTTGGTTTTTTCTATGAAATTAAAAAAAAAGTTTTATTTAATTAAAATTAATTAATTGCTAGAAGACATTTATGAACTTCTTCCATTTTTTTAAAAATTGTTATTATGATTTAAAAACATTCTGTAAAAAGTATTTTATGTAGTATTGAACATTGAACGTTATCTTTGAAGATCAGTGTATCGTTTTAAAAAAAAATATCGATCGGTAATTCATTGAGTTCTTTTTCATTATGAATTATATTATTTTAACCGTAAATCAACTGTCACAACTCCACTGGGAGTCCATCTCGGATTATTACTTACTTACTTACGCCTGTTACCCCCAATGTAGTATAGGCCGCTCACCAGTTTTCTCCAACCAACTCTGTCCTGGGCTTCCTTCTCCGGTTCTGTCCAATGTTTGTTCATTCCTCTCGTATCTTTCTCTATTTCTCGGCGTAGTGTGTTCCTTGGCCTTCCTCTTTTCCTTTTGCCTTGAGGGTTCCATGTAAGGGCTTGCCTTGTGACGCAGTTGGGTGCTTTTCGTAATGTGTGTCCTATCCACTCCCACCTCTTCTTCCTGATTTCCTACTCCACTGGAATCTGGTTTGTTCTCTCCCACAGTACGTTGTTGCTGATCGTGTCTGGCCAACGAATCTGAAGTATTTTGCGTAGACAACTGTTAATAAACACTTGTATCTTCTGAATGATGGCTTTTGTAGTTCTGCTGGTTTCCGCTCCATACAGTAGAACTGTCTTGACATTTGTATTGAAAATCGTGATTTTGGTATTGGTTGAAAGTTGTTTGGAGTTCCAGATATTTTTCAATTGTAGAAATGCAGCCCCCTTGCTTTGCCGATCCGCGCCCTCACATCTGCATCTCGGATTATTGCCGGTCCAAAACCCGGATAAAGGAGGAAGAGGGTTAGGAACATGAGGTTAGCGACCCAATCCCGTCGAAATCCAACTCGCCACATAGAAAAACGCTAACTAGAAAAATACTACACTGGTCAGTGGCCTATGCTACATGAGGGGTAACAAGCGTAAGTAACTAATTAAGTAAGTAAATCAATTCTCACAGTTTATTTAAATGAGTTTTAAGTTAAAATTATGGGAGAATGATGAGCTGAAAATGTTAGGATATTTATCAAATAACCTAAGAGAATTATTTTTGGAGGTCTAATTCTATTGGTCAATTCCTACTGGTCAATATTATGGTCATCCTAGCTGTCAATGTCACGTACTTCAAATGTTGTTTCCTATTCGACCTAACTGTATAAATACGCATTATCTGGAACGTTTTAGGACCCGGACTCGGACCCGGATCCGTAGTCCGGGATCCTGATTGTCTTCTGGACTCGGGCCTCGTTCTCCCTGGGTTATTGTAGATTACAGGTTCTACTTCATATGCATTCTTCTTCTATTACTCAATGGAGGGTGGGGGTTGGGACACTCGGATTAAAGTAGCTTGTCGTGTTGCCGGATCCTCAATCCTCGCTCTCGTTTACTGACTAAGGTAAACTCGTAATAATAATTCAAGCATATCAAATTGACGTGTTTACGTACATGCGTAACCGAAAACAACCGCAATGAATTTCTATTTAATTTTCTTTAATTCATCAGAAGACACAATTAATAAGCCTGTCATCGTACTGTACCGATTATTGTACCTTAACAAATCGAATAAGAACCCAACAACATGTTAAACTCATTCTAATCAATCTAGATTTTCCATTTCTTATTGCTGATGAGAATTCGAACATTGTCTTCACATTGTAATTTAGTTTAATTTAGGTATTTAGAGTTAAAGTTATGAATCGTGAAACTAATATTAGCTTTCATGTAAATATGCCTTATAGCCTATGATGGATGATTGAATTCTGTTCATGCAATAGAATAGGTGCTATCTGCTTAAGTCATCCGTGTTATGTAATACTGTCAGGTTAAGGTAGAATTTGGCTAGAAATGGAATGCAGGACACGCGTTTCGTCCTATATAGGACTCGTCAGTTGGACGCACCTGAATCTTAGAGTTTTTCACCCCAGGACTCGAGTTCACTAGCGTTCACTTCAAACTCTATCGCGTTATCCATTTAGATACAAGGTTCGAGTCCCGCAATGAACATCAACTCTGAGATACAAGTACTTCTAGCTGACGAATCGTAAACAGGGTGAAACACGCGTTCTGTATTGCACTGCTGATTACATTCGACCTATTCTGTGTCATAATGGATAATATCGAGTCACTCTGCATAAGATGTACATATGCCGCCTACTAATATGGATAAAATTTCAGTCAAGAACTTTCAACAATCGAATGATTCATACCATTTCAAATTGACTTATATTTCTACTAGTTCGCATGAAATTTTTGTGGAGATTGTTGAATTACTTAGTGAAATCATGAATTGATCAATGTTAGACAACCCCATTACAAACCCGGAAGCACTGTAAAGGCGGCCGTTTCATGCTGGTATGGGACACATCAGCAGCAGCGCGCATCCACGACTCCTGCACCTCGCAGGATTCGAACCAAGGACCTGCACGTAGACTCATAACCTCTGGACCACTGAGCCATCATCTAACGGTTCTACTGTCTAACTTCAATGAATCCACTGCCTTCGGTGAGCACCGCTTCACACTTGATCAGCGTGGAACTTCACCAAACGACCGTCTTCTTTCACTACTTCCAAGTTTCCCTTGATAGTCTAACATTAATCGATTTTTCGATTTCATAAAATCTCTACTTACTGGCTGTTTTGTCATACATGTGTGTTATTTTGAATTTTTTATGCAACAACAAACTTCAAAACTTGCCGCCTACTCTTCATTCTATCTAATGAATATTCATTCATGATAAAGTATGCCATTTTATTTTTGAGTAAATAAGAACACACATAGAGATTAATTTGCCTTTTTCTCTTTCTTTTTCATAAATTATATTTGTCACGGATAGTTCTTTTTTTGTTTGTTAAGACAAAAAAACAACATTAGTTTTCAACTACTGTTTGAATTAAATTGTTGACCTTAAAACTAGAAAAAAACCGATTACAAACATTTTAATTTAATTTAATTTAATTATGTCGCGTTACGTTTTCTTTTTTTTATTTTTAAAAAATATCTTACCAAGTTTTAAAAACAATGATCAAGTTATATTATTTTTGTTTAAAATATTGTCAAAATACCATGAATGACCTTGTGATACACACATGAATTCACATTGAATTATTTAGTGAGTGTCATAGTCTCGAATAGATTTCATTGTTTATATGCGCGCACATATATTCTCATAGGTTTCAACTCTCTCTCTCTCACTCTGTTTGTGTTCATATGTTTGTGCTTGTTGTATTTCTATGAATGAACAATGAATACTTTGATAATTGAATATTTGCATTACGGGGTTGTGAAGATTGTTTAGTTACACATTTTTTGAAACCATGAATCGATCAATGTTAGATCACCATTAGAAACCTGGAAGCACTGGAAGGCCGCTTGGTCCTGGTATGGGACTCCTCAGTGGCAGCGCGCATCCACGACTCCTGCACCCCGCAGGATTTGAACCCAGGACCTTCGGTATTGTGCGCGAACGCTCTAACCGTTAGACCACTGAGCCGTTATCCGACGGTGTTAATGTCTAATTTGATAAAATTCACGGAGTTGCGCAACCTCATACACAGTCTTCGGTGGACACTGCCTACACCCGAACAGGTTGAATTTCACTGGTCACGTCTTCCCACTAGAACTCGGAGAAGATTCCTCGCGAAGCTAGTCACTAGTGAGTACAAGTGATTTGCATTACGGGGTTGTGTAGATTGTTAAGTTACACATTTTTTGAAACCATGAATCGACCAATCTTAGACCACCATTGGAAACCTGGAAGCACTGGACCGAAGGTCCTGGGTTCGAATCCTGCTGGGTGCAGGAGTCGTGGATGCGCACTGCTGAGGAGTCCCATACCAGGACGAAACGGCCGTCTTTCAGTGCTTCCAGATTTCTAGTGGTGGTCTAACATTGATCGATTCATGGTTTCAAAAATGTGTAATTGAATATTTCTTTTGATATATTGGCCTTATTTCATTATGATCGTAGAGGAAACTGTATCTAGTTTGGTATATAGATATATATATATAAAGGCCACTGGCTAGCGTTCTGTAGCCTACCCTGTCCTGGGCGTTCTTTTCCAATTGTACCCAATCGCTGTTCATTCTTTTCATGTCTGTCTTCTAATTCGCGGCGTAATATGATATTTAGTCTTCTTGTTTTCTTTCGAACTTGAGGATTCCGAATGGGGGCTTGTTTTATGACACAGTTGGATGGTTTCCCTAATGTCTGTCCTATCGACCTCCACACATATTCCAGTTCGCTTACATTTAATTTGGTTTAGCCCTTTCGATTAATTTATTTAACCAAGCCATTCGCGTAGCAACAACTTATATGTACCATTGGCTTTTATTATTGTCTGGCTTGTATGAGCTGGTACGACTGAACATTGCTTACCACCTACGCTCATATGCATCCTATTCGCTTTAATATTGATCTCTTAAATATCACGATGACTCAGACATTTTCCTATGTATATATACGAACATTTTAATCCTATTAATTCATTCGCCTATTCGCATTGTAACCCTAGGAGTTGGCTCTTAGCCTTCTCCAATGCGCTTCGCCTATTCGTTCGCTTCCTTCGCTCATTCTTTCGCTGCTTTTCAACTTCCCTATGTGGTGTGTCCAAAATGTAAACGTATTCATTCCTTCGAATTCGCCTTCTGATTCATAAACCGTCAGGCGCTATCCGAACACGCAGATAAATGGACCCCACAAGTGGTTCTTCATGACTTCTCCCTCCAATGGAATCTGGTTTGTTCTCTACTACAATAGGTTGCTTCTGGGGCACACTTTTGCGTTTACTACCAGTCCCGATCTCGGATAAAGGAAGAAGCTTGGGATTGGGTTAACGACCCTTTCCTGTAGAAAACCAACTTGTTAAAATGAACGTTAACCAGATTATATATATATATATATATATATACATATATATATATATATATATATATATATATATATATATATATATATATATATATAATTACTGTAGGCGCTTTACCTACCAATAGTATTTCAGGTTGCTTGTGCAATAACTTGAATTGATTAAAATTTTACAAACAAATGATTGGTTGCTAGCTTAATAGCCCAAAGACTTGGAGTTATCAGATTTCATCCGTAAAGAGTTTCATATTAGAACGAACTCATTGCATGTGATACTTTTTGGTTTTTAATAGTTATCTAATTAAGACCAGTTGGTTATATAAACTATGAAATGTAAAAATAGTACTGGTCGAATTCTGTTTAACCAACTGCCAATATGACAGTCAACCTTAACGACTGGAAATCCTATGAACAGTTTCGATTGAAAATGGTTGTGAAACAATTTGTACGCGGCTCTGTATCTAGTTTTTGTAATAGTTAGCACTAGAAAGCAGGGAGTATCTATAGTATCCTCTTTATATTCAGTATCTCAATCTTTTATGTAAAGTACATCACAACCCAGGTAAAGTTCAGGCGTGTAACGTCTCAGACTGTCACACTAACTGCTCTACATTCAAAGCCTAATTGGTGCATAAGCCTCCTGAAGTTTATGGATATTTCTTGGTACCAGCTAGCACAAAGCTTACGCTCATGGTTTCCTACTGGTCACTTACAATCACTTAAGACCAAACTTCAAGTACTTCAATCCTCCCACCAATATAAGTTTATTAGTCAAAGACAACCTCACTGTATTCTGCATACTTTTTTACTGTGTCTATACTACTTACTACTGAAATCATGAATCAGTCATTGTTAGACCACCTCCATTATAAAACTGGAAGCACTGAAAGACGGCTGTTTCTTCCTAGTATTGGGACTCATCAGCAGTGGGCATCCACGATTCCTGCTATTCTCACGGTTTGAACCAAAGACCTTCAGTCTTGAGCTGGAACTCCTAACCTTTGGACCATTGGGCGGCCGGCATTTAACGGTGTTAATGTTTAATTTTGACTTCATCCATTTGTCTTCACTAGTTACTACCTACACCCGATAGTGTTAAACTCCATTGGTCAAATCACCTCACTAGAACTTATTAGATTATTCGAATACCAGTGACTTATCAAGTACCTTCTTCAATTTCATTTCAAATTATTTTCCTTTTTTTTTTTACTCAGATATCATTATGGTATCAAAAAGCCGGTACAGCGAATTTACACTTTTTTCCAGCTCCATGTTATCCATTCGGTCAACCGGATGATGATTTATCCGATAAAGATCCATTGCGTAAACCAATCTTTTTACCAATCAATATTAATGTATTAATTAATGTCGCACAAAAATTTTATCAACAATTCAAAAATGAAAATAATAATGATCATACTGATGAGAATCAGAATAATGTAAATTCTTGTATGCATATGAAAGATTTGTTAAATTATTTATTTCCTGGTAAGTTTTATTGATTATATTTACTTACTTACTTGCTTACTTACGCCTGTTACCCCCAATGGAGCATAGGCCGCCCACCAGTTTCCGCCAACCAACTCTGTCCTGGGCTTCTCTCTCCAGTTCTATCCAATGTTTGTTCATTCTTCTCATGTCTTTCTCTATTTCTCGGCGTAATGTATTCCTTGGCCTTCCTCTTTTCCTTTTGCCTTGAGGGTTCCATTTGAGGGCTTGTCTCGTGACGTATTTATTTATTTCAGTAAATATTGTTAGCTTTTTATGAAGAAAGCTCACTAGTGATGATTAGCTTCTTTAGGAAATTTCTTCAAGTTCTAATGAGAAGATGTGACTAGCGGAGATCAACCCTGTTCGAGTGTTGTGAGGTAGTTGTCGACCGGAAACAAAAGGAGTGGTGAGGTTTCAAAATACTGTGGATTGATGAAACGTTAGACGTTTGAACATTGTTGGATGCCGGCATTTGTACTCGTGCGAGATCAAAAGTCCTAGTTTCGATTCCTGCGAGCAAGAGTCTATGGATGTGCATTGTTGATGAGTCCCACACTGGACCGAAACAGCTGTCTTTCAGTGCTCCAAAGTTTCTGATGGTGGTCTAATTAATAATGGTCGATTGATTATTTCAA